ATCAGATAGACACACATCTAAACACATGTGACTGCAATAACAATGAGCCTGGTCCTTGTTGCCCTGTCAGCCAAAATGGCCTCCTAGTTTAATACTGCCTTCCCCTGTGTCATGGATAGTGACTGCCTGCAGTGCTTCATTGTCATCCTGTCCCCATCTCTGACACGGGTCAAAGGTAAGGACTAGGGCGCTGTGAATTATGCACATGGACATTTGCACCTGCTTGGAGTTGAGCCTGGGTTGGATGCGTTTGCGTGCCACAACCGAGGAAGACGACAGTTGAGGTGGTTGGTACAGCTGATCCGTCTGCTCTCCCTCCACAGCAGTTTTCTTGTAGTCTTCCTCGTCTTTTGTCCTGCAGAAGATAGGGAACAGTTCGTGGGCAGGGAGCAATGGCTGTGGGAAAGGCCACTGAACTCCAAACGAACTTGCAGGGGTGGGGCCACCTCGAGTTCTGGATCAAGCTGCAGGGTTTTATCCAAGAAACAAACTCTGGGTTTGCACAGCCAGCCAAAAACAAGAGTCAGACCTGAAAGTTTATTTACAGGGAAGGAAAGAATTGCCATTATCTTGTATAATATCAAACTCCTACCCAGAGCCCAAGCCCTCAGGGTTATCTGTGACTGCCCTCTCCTGCTTGCAAAAGTGAGGGGAATAGCAATGCTTGACACACAGGGGCCAGGCCAGCTTTATCATGCAGCTCTGCTATGCCACCTCCAAGCTGGTGTCGATTGTGTTCCAGCTCATGGTCCCGCCTCATGTACAGTGGCAGGGGATGTGATGTGGATGGGTAGATACCCTCTATTCCCAGGATGAAGCCCACCATATTCATTTTCCTTGTTGCCTTTAATAGCAGTTGAAGCCAGGGCGTAGAGGTAACGCTCTGGAGCACCAACTCCCAGCTCTAACCCTTTGTTGCAGGACAGCCCTCACTGGGGTGGGAGGGTGGATCTGCAGGATGAGTAGCTGTGGCTGCTGGAATAACTTCAGCACTTTTGTTTTGGATAGGATCCCTCTGGCTCTTGTGCCGTGGATGTGAGCACAGTATGGTGGGAAGAGACTGGCTGCCTAGAACTGTGCATTGTGACTGCTTGCGAGACCTCCGTTTCATTGTGGAAACCTCTGTCTTCTGACCAGTGGAGAAATACGTGCACCTGGCACCTCACAGAGGTATAAGACGGAGACTTTATTTCTGCGGTTTGGGGCAATTGTCTGATCATGTTGGACTACTTCCCAAGAAGCAAATAACTGCAGACTCAGGGAGAGACTCCTTAGGTGGCATAAATTGGTGTAGCTCCATCAAAGCCAACTAAGCAAAAAGATTTGCACCAGTTAAAGAAATAGCCTGATTTTGGGGGGGGGCAGGTAATTCAATTCCATATGAAATGTTAGTTTCTTGTAGTTGTGCAGATGTTGAGTGTTAATTGCCCGGCAGCGTGACTTCTTGCATCAGGAGCTTGCTCTTCCTTCAATTTACCTGTTTTGCTTGATGTCTTTTAGGGGAAGAACTGACGGTGGTATATTTTCTGCTTAATTTAATTGTTCTTTAAGGGGTTGGAAAATTCAGTCTAATTGTCTTTAGATAATATAGAAAATCTAACTAAAAATTATACTGTGGTCGAAATTAATTACCTGTCTTTGCCTTCGTAGATTCCAGTCATACAAATTGTTCCTTTGCCAGATGTCCATAATCTGGTATGTGCAGCCTTGGGGGACTTGGAGATTGGAGAACTAAGGTGAGTCATCCTGGGCATGTGGCTTTTATTTTGTACTGAACACTTCTAACCTCCCAATTTCTCCAGTTTGACATCAAAGAACACTCTGCTAATTGACTCTTTTGCACAGAGGCTGAAGTTATCTCTTGCTAATCTGTCAGTTCCAAGTACTATTTTAAAAAACACTGTAACAATGGGAAAAGCTTAGCAGAAGCAGAAATTTAATTACCCTACAGGATTCTCTTACTCCTTATTTCCTCTGATAAAAGCATAATCATTTCTGGATGATACTGAAAGCCATTTTTGGGTTCTGTTTCCTTTCTCCTTCACTATACAGCCTTCTGTTCTGATTTGGTTTAGGGTCTTGCTTTGTTCTTCTGAAGACGGCTCCCTAAAGCAATCAGTAGTAAAAACTGGAAACATAAAAGCTGTTCTTGGGCTAAAAGACAGGAGGCTGGTCAGCAGCAGCAGGACCTTTCAAGAGCAGCAAGTGGAGATAATCTCCTTCTTGGAGACAGGAAGGTAAGAAGGCTGGCAGTTTGTTCCCAGCGGCAGTGATGATTTCAGAGGCTGCATGCGGGGAGTTTGCTGTTCTTTCTGGGGTGTTGCAGCATGTGAACCATTTCCTTGTTCTCTTGCATAGTAAGTAATGTGACAGCCTGTTTTCCACAACATCTTCTGTTTATCCACACGTGTTGTCCAGAAATAACAACAGGAAGACTTTGATGGCCCCAAAAGAGACGGTTCTGGCTTTTGCTGAGGTAGAAGGTATTAGAGATGCCTTGATTGGCACTACAACAGTGAACAGTGTTGTTGTTTGGTAAGTGCTTGCTTCTGTCACCAGGACTTTAGAGTGGGAATGTTGCTAGTGAGGTGATCTGTTGTGGGGGCAAGGGGCATCTAGTCCTTAGCTATGGGATCTAGTCACACAGGGCACAGAGCAGAGTTTGCTTCTGATCTGGTGAAACGTTAATTGTCAGTGAGGCCTGGAGCCCAGGGCAGAATTTCTGCTTTGTTTCTATAAATCCAGATGAAAACACAGCAAATGAGCAGTAAGATGACGACAGCACAGCTTCCATCCTCAGCCTTTGTCCACAATTTTTTTAGCACAGTCTCTCTCTGGAGCAAGGACCATGCCTTCCCCTCTCTATTTGGACAGCATTTCACACACCGGCACTGCAGCTGTCAAAAGAATACAGACAATTTGCAGAACATAAAACAGTCCAATTATGTTTCTTTGGCCTGCAGGAACTTGAAAACTGGTCAGCTGCTGAAAAAGATGCACGTTGGTTATTCCTATCCAGCTTCAGTCTGCCATCGGGCCTATTCTGACTCTGTACGTATGTAAAAGAAAATCCTGCTGCACATATGCGGAGTTAGATTCCCATTCATGCCTCAAGAGAGAGAAACTTATGATCACACAAACTAATCAGCACTGTTATACCAGAAGCAGCCCCAGGCCGCATCCTCTGCTAACCTAAACCTCATCTTCAGTACTTTCACAAGACGATTGCAGAGTGGAGCATAGAAGCATGATGTTCTTGTTCGGTTGCATCTGTACTGTGATGTGAGACCCTTCACCCATGTGTGTTCTTTGGATTCTTGAGCGCTTAACCTCAACCTGTGTAAAAGTAGTGTTCACGCATATTTGAGGCTAAATAGTGGTGGCTTGAGACAGACTCAACAGGGGCTACTTCAAGATCTCTCTTCCAGGGCACAGAATCTGATTCCTGGTTTGCTGTGGCTTGAGCAGGAGTTCCCAGTCATCTCCATGCAGTCATTATTTTTGTTACATGTAAATGCCTAATAGGCTAAGACCCAGCAAGCTCATTTCAGATGTAATCCACGTGTATATTCTTCCCCTGGGATAAATGGAAGCTAACTCGGAGCTTATTCCTCTTTCACCGAGGCCCAGGGTACCGTGGATGGGCTTTGCTTAAGAGCAGGCATGTGGACAATCACTGCAGAGCTGCTGACAGGCTGCAGAGTCCCTACTTGTTCGCACGCTTGTGCCCAGAGGTGCAGTCTCACTACACCACATAAGTCCTACCCAGTTGGTCTCCTGTCAGCTCCTCTGTTTTAATTTAATTTGAAAAATATCTAGAGGGGCAAGTGGTCACAGCACATAGTTGCCACAGGTGCCTGGTTACAGGAGAAGGTGTTACAATTTTTCTTCTATCAATCGCTCTAATGAGGTATTTTTCCTTTGTAAACCAGGGCCTCCTGTTTGTTGTTTTAAGTCACCCTCATGCCAAAGAGAGCGAGTCGTGCGGAAACCCTGCATTCCGGGTGATCGCATTCAATCCCAAGACGGCCAGGAGCGCTGGTGTCATGTTTCTCTCTCTCCCCCCTGGACACACTGGCAGGCAAGTACCTGAGGAATCATGCAGAGGAGCTGTACTTACTCCCTTTTTTTCTTTCTGGAAGTAGAAAGCTGGCATTGATCTAAGATAAAAGCTGTCTGTGGCCCAGCTGACAGAGCGGGCAATCTGCAAGGGCCCACCTGCCACTGTCTGACACTAATGAGGTTGCCATAAATCACGGACAGCCTCTGTCCAGCAGAATGCAGGGAGGGTGTTGCCTGCTTCCTGCCTGCTTCCTGCACAAGTCTGTGAGCTAACCTCTGAGCTCCCTGTGTCCTGCTGCGTCAGGGACTTCTTTGTGAGCAAGCCCTGTTTGTGACCAGGGAATGGCTTTTAGTCACAAAAATGTTTGTGGGATGAGAGGTCAGGTCACTGGATTTAGAAGTTAGTCCCGCAGGCAAAGCCCCTGCAGAAGCACAGGCAAACTGACACTGGAAGGGCTTTAAAAACATTTTGGGAACTTCTTTCCAGGGATGAGCACATGTTTTAGTAGGTTGCAGTTGGTAGACAGATGACCTGCTATATTCACTGTGGAGACTAAGGCAGTTGTGCTCAAATCGTGCAACCTTCCTTACATGCATAATAAGTGCTTTGCAGCTTGAGACGACATCGTAATGCTAAGCAGCTTCTACATTTCTAAGCGAGTGACACCACAGGGCTGTTTCCTACCTCTCTTGCTTGCATGCAGTGAAGAACACAATCCTCATGACACTGCCACTTCCTACAGCTGGCTTAAATTCTTCATTGCTTTTGTTACCCACAAGATGCTTTTCCATGTGGAAGCTTTGCATTTGTTTTACACATAGTGAATGTGGAATAATAGCATGGTATCTCACACCGTGACACGTCACGTGAACAGCACTGCAGAGTCCTCACTGTTCTGTGCATGGTTCTAGGTACCTGGAGGGTGAAGTGAAGGACACCTCTGCAGCAGCTGTCCTGACATCTGGAACCATTGCAGTGTGGGACTTGCTTCTAGGGGACTGCGCTACCTTGCTTCCACCGGAGTCTGGCAGGCCTTGGACGTTGGTGAGGTGGTCAGCCAAGGACTCCTACCTACTGGCTGGACAGAAAGATGGCAGCGTGTGTGTCTACAGCTATTCACCAGCCACAGCAGGGAGGCGGAAAGAGGGCAGGACAGGGGCTTCTTAAAGCTAAGAGGAGGATTTGCACTGAGCAAATATGCACTGAGTGAGCTGAGCGGGTAGGGTTTCCTTGTTGTATCCTCAGCATGGTCTGTTTGCTTCTCCCCAAAGGATTTGTTTCAATTTGAGTCATTTGGGGGCGGGGGGGGGGGGGCCTGC